CAAAAAAAATGCACCAACAAGGAATCTCTTGCAAGCTGTTTTTTGCCCCCCAAAATGTTCCGGTAGCACTGTCCGAACAACCAACAGAGATCCAGTATCCAAACTACAATCTAAACGGAATTCAATCCAAACCAAGGAAAGTGCACTTACTCAACAGTGACGTGCCAAAGGGCTCTGAGTGCGCAATTGTCAACACTGCAGTTGGGTAGTTCAGGTATCTTAGGTTTAACTAGTCCCACCCGTAACTCGAGATCCAAATTTGTCCTCATTTGGAAAGTTTCTAACATTTGAGCTAGTCGTGAGACAATTTTAAAGAAAAGGGCACTTGACAACGCAGTATCTTGCAAAGAATGTTGAAGTTAATTTTGCCAATTACATGACCCATTGACCCTGCAGGTAACTCACGCAGCGCCCCACCCTCAAGGGGTCCCCCTCCGTCCTACAGTGGGAGTGGCGGAAGCAGTCGTTATGACGACTATGGCAGCAGTTCCCGGGATGGATATGGCAGTCGAGACAGTTATCCCAGCAGTCGGAGTGACCCGTACTCCACTAGTCGTGGTGACCGTCTGGGTAGGCAGGAGCGAGGGCCACCCCCTCCTCTTGAGAGAGGCTATCCTCGTGAATACAGCAGCTCAAGCCGTGGGGCACCTCGAGGCGGTGGCCGAGGCAGCGGTCGGGCAGATAGAGGAATGGCCCGGAACAGATACTGAGATGGACTTTGAGGAGAAAAAAATAAAAAGGAGAAATGATGGCTTCTCGTTGAATTGTTCAAAAGAATTTAAGATTCCAAAAAAAAGCGCCCTTTTAAACTCTGAACTTCGAGTTTCAGTTTCAAGCTGTACTCAAACATGTGAAGGTTTTTATTATTTTTATTATTATTATTTTTGTCCTTTTTAAATTCAGAGTTTCTTTTCTCTAGCCCACATCCCATTTAATGGTACTGTTGCAAATCTAAGTGTGTTCTTTTTGTATACTAGTGACTTGTTAAACCTGCAATGCCCTAACATATGGCTTTCATTTACCAATAAAGTGTTTTTAATCAAAGATCTTGAGCAGCAACACTCTATTCAAGAGAATTAGAAACAATGATGCATAAATATCCATTTACCTCTTCAGTTTTCCATGGTGAGCAACCCCAAATTCCACTTAATATAGAAGCAATGCAGAATATTCATGTAGGCATGATTGTTCACGTTGTTGGGGACTGGGCAAATTTCACCTTTTTCCAAACTCTCTATGGGTGTAGTTTTCCTCAGTGCAAATGGATCCTTCATCACAAAGCCTAAACATTGACGCCTTTCATCGACCAATCCAAAGACAACCAAAATGCAAGAAACAAATCAGCACCACAGATAAAACCTGTCAACAGCTGGTAAGCAAAGCAAACCCTTTTGTTCTGGTATAAGTCAAGTCTCGGTGGTGTTATTTTGCAGTGTAATTTAGTCAAACATCGACTTGGTTGCCCTGGCTTTTTCAAATGCAATCTGAAACAATATAATTTCCAACATTATTAACAAAACCTCACTTCTGCCTTCAAAGGAGTCTATGATCCCTCTCCCCCACCACTGGATCACTTCAGTTTAGGAGGTCTTAGTCTCAGAAATATCAGCCAGTTCTACTGTTGCACTAAAGGAGAAAATGTCTGGATTTTTTTCTGCCCCTTTCAAATGAGAAATGGCCCCTTTTTTATAAAAAAAAAAAAAAGGATGTTAAGATGAGTCTCCTCAATGGATCTATATCTACAGCCAAATGTAAGCCACATAGCTGCAAAACCTCTTGAAACCTCCCATTGGAACCCTTTTGAAAATGTAGTAAAATTCACTTAGTATTAACAAAAAGCCAGAACGCTCAAGCATGCCGTTTCTAACAAAGGAGACCACGTGGAGAAAGACAGCACCCCATCAACAAACCTGGAAAACCAATTAGTTTGGGTCATTTGAGTTCTTTTGTAAAATTACATTTAAAATAATATTTGTCCCTTATGCTGAGCTACAACAGTTTGCTGATGGAAACTCTCATTGCAGGCTGAATGGGGGGAAAGGAGTTTGATGGTAATACCTCATTGCTGATCAGCACCTGTTGCCATTTGGTGATGCATGATGGTCTCAAGTAAGATGCAGGTATGTGTGAGTCCTTAAACCATTGCAAACTTATATTTGGTGTTTTCATGCAATTAATTACTCGTGTTTTCATCTAGATCCATCCAAGCTATTCGGGTTCTTTGGAGGCTGCTGTACATCGAGGCTTGTGATGTTTAGATGGGAGGCTTTGAGTGCTACAGATGAATTGCTCTTTTATTTTATTTATTTATTTTGGCTTTTCAATAAACTATCATTTGAATTGAAATTAACTTATTTGTATATGTATCTTATTTAATTGCCACTGTAATAGTGCTGTATTTGTATGGTCATGTCTGTTAACTCTACGACAGGCTAGTTTGATCTAAAAGCGCGGTTGAGCCATATGGAAAATTCTTGCGGCATTTTAAAGGAATCACAGTTCCTTTTGTGTCACTGATATGTCAAAGAGCCTTTATGTTGGTTATATGGCAGACGTCCACTAGAGAACTAAGTTGCCGGGCTGAATGGTCGTTGTAACGTCAGTGAAAAAGCAGAAGCGCGACGGATGTGGGTAGCATCTCGACACAAATAGAGCTGGCGCACCAAGGGTGCAGCTAAATCTGAAAGGCCCATTGAGCCTAAAACTATGAACCCCGAGGAGCAGACGGTTACGTGGCTAATAACATTAGGCGTGCTTAATTCACCCAAAAAGAATATCGCTGATCCGGAGGAATTTCTGAAAACATCTCTCAGAGATGGGGTCGTCCTGTGTAAGCTTGTGGAGCGAGTGCTACCTGGAGCCATCTTAAAGGTAATCGATAATATGCACATGCATGTTTCCTTGATTAAATAGTCGCAGTCTAGTGAATTGATTATTTTCATAAATGTAAAAGTATCAGATAACACCCATGCGGAATTGACGGTGCACGATGCGTAATGCCGGATTACTCGCTGTTACAAGTAACACTTTGAGATGCACTGCATTTGGTAAAGATACATTACATTTTGAAACAATCTAAAGCAAAGAAAGTCTATTTATCTGTGTTTGTTTATTCAGGACACAATTTAATCGAGATAGAGAATCTGACTTCCTGTTACATGATAAATTGTTCCGCATTCTCACATTTAAAAAAAAAAAAAAAAAACCTGGTCGATCTTCACTTTAGTATAAAATACCCAGAGCATTTGTAAAGCAACTTTCTTTTCTCGTTTGTAAAAGCCATATTTAACTATGTCAGTCAAACCTCTGATTGTCTGTCTGCATGCCTCTGCTGCTAACCAATCCAGCTCCACATTGGCAAATAAGGTCGTTATTAATAAGATAACCTAAGGTTTGCATTTTGATTTTCTACGGAATAAAATTCTGTTTAAATTAATTTAAACGCTCAAAATCCGTGCTCTGATCAAGGGGCGAAAATATAGCGCTCATTGAAAAGTATAACGAATGTGCTGATCAATTCAACAACTTGTAGAAGTTTCTGTTTTATAAAGTGCTCGTTATAAGTCTTGGTTCTTGTCTTTCTCCCTTCATTTTTAAATTGTATTTATTTATATGTTTCATACCGCTTTACTGATGTTAACACGTCGCTTCAAATGGATTTTATATGGTTGAATGTATTTACATTATATTAGTGAACGAATCATTCGAGTCGGATCTTTTTAATGAATTGGATTAGTCGGTTCGCAAAACGGGGCTGAACGATTCGTGGGGGTGGGGGGATTTTTTCAACCAATAGGTGTAAATTAATTAATGCAAATTATATTTAAGTTCTAAATTACTTTTGTTACGAGCTGAATTTTTGCTGCAAACAGACACATGGAATACAGTGCACAACGTTTTGGGGGGTCTTAAAAACGTAATAATCAACATTATGCGTCTATAGCTTTATTTGAACGTTTTATTTATGATATATGATATACCACGCCTGGATGTCCCGTCATGGACGTCAATGCGCAAGAAAATAGATTTTTGAGCCGGTTCTTTGAACGGAACCGTTCGAAAGATCGAAGGAACCGATTCGCGGAAATGAATCGGACTTGCCATCACTAGTAAACGGTCCAAGTAGAAACTTGCTGAGCAAACATCGTCACTTCCTCCAAAATATCTTTTCCTGGTGCGATAGAGCCCGATGAGATCTAGCATAGATACTGGCTGTGTGTCTGTGTTACAGGACTAAGCTGACGCAAAGAAACATTTACTTAGTAAACTCAACGCCAAAGACATTTAGCATGCGATACTGGACAGCAGTGACAGGGTACAATGTGGCTCACAGACTAGGTTGACATTTACTTCAGAAAACGAGATCTTGTTGATCTCAGGTGATTCTCTGCGTTGCAGTGAGCTCGAAGCAAAATTGAGATTATTTACATCGCCATTCTTCCATTGGTTTTCAGTATTCAGCTGAACCCAGATGCGAAGCGGACTGCATTGCAAACATTCGAGAGTTTCTAAAAGGATGCCAGTCTCTAAAGGTTGAGGTAAGATCATTTTTCTATAAATGTCTGTGCATGAGTGAGTTGGGATCACACAAATGAAACGTTTTGCTAATGAAGGGTCATGCCTTTGAGAAAAACAGCTGAGTGTGTATTAATATTTGGCCCGTATGCTGAAGATATATCACTCTTAGCTAGAAGTACATTAAAAATAACCTAAATGTGTTCTATAGTGTATATGCATTAAAATACATTTCAGATTAAAGCTGTATTTATAAACATTGATTTTATGAAGGAATGATTTGCATAACATAGTCTTAATAATTTATATTCAGTATTTATGCAGAGTACTTCCTTCAGCCCATCTATTTTAGTTTAGCTCTCTCTGAGGACAGGCAAATAAATAGCAGGGTTTTGTTTTGGTTTTGCACATGTGATCTTAAAATATGCCAGTAAACAAGATTGCACATAATACTAGCTCTTTCGCTTGTGCATTTCATCTATTATGGTTATTACATGGTCCTGACCTGCAGCAGCCTTACAGACCTCTCAAGAATATGGTCGGGAATTATAACTATCACAGTAAACATTGTCAGTCTGCAAGCTCTACACACAGACAAACTATGGTGCCACACCCTCTGCAATGACAGTTTTCTTGGATTAAAACTATGATCAAAATCTGGTTACAGAGTGGTAAACTGTTCATATATGGTGAGCATGACTCATTAGTGCCATGTTACTTGTTTATATGTAATGTTTGGCTTTGATTTTAATAATAGTAAGCTTGCTAATAGAATTGTGGTTTTGTTTGACCTTTATTGAAATAGCTTCACTTTTTATGGTCGAAACTCATTTGTAAGAGTATAAATTGAACATCTTGCCTCTGCTCTATTCAACAGCCCAGTGGTTGACTAGCTTTTTTTAATAGTCTACAGACATGCGCTAATGCAGTTAAATGAGAGCAAATAAGATGCACCGAAATTTCAGTATAAACAAACATATTTTACATAGCGTTTGCTCAAAATTTAAAAACAGAAAATGTGGGCTATGCATGGACAATGCTCTCTGAATTTTAAGACTGACACCAGGCAGAGTGACCACTGGCATTCAGGCACAAGTAGTGGCCAATGCTAATGAATTAACAATATCTATGAATATCTGCTAAAGAAAATTGAATCAACTCAAGTTGCTAATATTAAAGTGTAATGCTGTGATCTTTGGCTAGACTAAGTCTTGCTCAGCACAGCAGCACAAATGATTGCTGTTCTCCCCTATAATTTGTGCTGATTCTGTAAAGCAGCAGAATGAACAAGAGCTTGACAAGGAGGGCTGAGGGTGAGAGTAGCTGGGAATATATATATATATATATATCAACTAAAATTTTAACAATATAATAATAGAATTTTTAAGAAAGCTCCTGTCTCATTCTCTTTGAAAGGCCCAATGGGCATATGGTTGATGCAAGTCGTGTGACTAGACAGAGAAGCAAGTCGCATAACTTTCACTTCTGCTTTTAAATTAGCTGAAAACGAGAAGTATCGTAACACAATCTAAAGCTTGATATGAGCCTTGTTACATTATTGATGAGAGAGAAATGCAAATAACAAATGTCCCAAAGCAAATGGTAAATGTAATCTTAAAACTGCACTGACTGTTCGTCTTGTTGCAGCCTCCATAGCAAAACAGTGCTCAGCAAATAAAAAAACAGATGCTTCTTGCATTGCTGTGTAAACGCTATTATGTTTTATTTAAAACATGAAACCGTATCCTAAGCAAGAAAGGGGATAGCTGTCTGTACCCAGCGTCTGACAGGACCTGCAGACCAAACGCCAAACCAGTATCTCAAAATGTGGGTCACACTGAGGTTTATTTTCCTAACCAGTGAAATTTTTTACCAAGGTTGTTTATAGGAGGGTCATGATAAATTGATATGGATCATTGCATCGATCAAATGCGATGTTATATATCGATGAAGCATAAAAAAAATCTATAGGCTAAATCTTTTGATACATTTTCTATATTGTTTAAAAAACTAAAGTGTGTTTTTGTTGTGAATGTCCCAGTTTTCAGGGAGTTCAATTAAATGTTCATGTCATATTTTGTTTGCATTTTTAATAAAAATGTAACTGGTTGTGTAAAATATGCACTTTATATCATGATATCAATATATTGAAACCTTATTGCGAATATCATGTTGCAAATATCATATTGCTGGCTAAGAGAATCTATGTCAGATCGTATCGTGCTGAAAATCCGATTTATACCTTTTTTTATGTATAGATAAAGCCCGACTCTCTTCTGATTTCTGACCTGCTTCTGCTTCTGGCACTGTCTGTGGACAGTTTTTCTTGTGTTTGACTTGTGTCTTTCTCTTAGGTCTTTGATCCAGAAAGCTTATATACTGGGGAGAACTTCAACAAGGTTCTGTCGACACTCTCAGCAATAAACATCGCCACTCAAGGTAATTCATAATGTTACGGTCATATGTTCTTCACTTATATTCCATGTCCTTTCCTTGAGTACTGCAGGCATCAGCTTTGTCTTGTCATTGGTCAGTTTCCTCTCAAGTCACATTTATTTTTTATTGTGCTTTATACAATAGAGATAGTTTCAAAGCAGCTTCACAGTATTAAACAGAATCATTAATGCAAACATCAAAAATGAGGCAAATCCAAATTCTGCGGTAAAGAAGTCGATGGTGTTAATTTATTCAGCTCCAGACAGTTCAGTGTTGGTTCAGTTCAATTCAATAGGCAAGGCAAGTTTATTTATGTAGCACATTTCATACACAATGGTTATTCAAAGTGCTTTACATAAAAGGAAGTAAAATAATCATAAAAAATTATCACAACAATAAAACAAGGAATTTAAAAACTTTTAAAATGATTTAAAGGGGTCCTATTATGCTCTTTTA